AAGTTCGACTCCGTCCTGTCGTCGCTCTTTGGCATGCGGTTAGCGTTGCGTATCTTGCGGCCGCACTCGCTCACTCTCACTCTCACTGTCTCATTGTCTCACTGTCTCACTGTCTCACTGTCTCACTGTCTCACTGTCTCTCTCTCTCTCTCTCATCTCTCTCATCTCTCTCATCTCTCTCATCTCTCTCATCTCTTTCTCATCTCTTTCTCATCTCTCTCTCCTCTCTCTCTCTCTCTCCTCTCTGTCTCTCGTCTTTCCGTCTCTCTTCTCTCTCTTCTCTCGCAGGAGGATCCGGGCAAAGAGCCACATATAAAGGACTCTTCACCCCTGCCTCCAAAAAGAGCGCCGTGTTTTTTCCTACCTCGCTGCCCTCCACTTTCCCATTCTGGAGCGCTAGCTTTCGCCCCCCCCCTTGGCCTCAAGTCCCAATATTTACTTGATTTTCTACTCAGTGGTAGCACCACAGTTTCCAATTGAGAGGCGCGATGTTGTGATGGATGTGGGGCAATTGTGATGGAAGTGGGGTAATGTGGCATCCCTCAATTCATCGGGCAGTTGCATTACCCGGAGCGTGGGGCATGGGGGAGTCAAAGCAAACCACCTGCTATGAACCCGCGTGCTTTTCCATCATGAATCATAAATAACCACTATTTTGCAGACCTGCGGATGAGTTTCATTAAGCCGATTCCGGTGTTCATTGGCCCAGCTGCATTTTTCCATGCGCATTTTGGTAATCGTGACAAGGTGCCTAGTACGGGCAGTGATGTGGTGGAGGTCGTGCCTTGTGTGATTCTTCCAGGCTTGACAATGGTTTCAGCTGAGAAATGCCGGGATGCTTTCTTTGAACCCGCGAACTTCGAGATCCTGAGCAGCGTGTCGGGTGGTTCCACCATTGCCAAGATTGATTACTGGGAACACACCAGTGAGATGGACATCCATGCAGCTTACGTCTTGAATATGTCAGAGTTATCCGCATCCTACTGCTGGTCCCAAGGCCGTGGTTCGTTGTGTGCCAACATGATGTTTTTGTGAAGAATCGCGGTGCTAGTAGGTTCTTATCACTATTTTAGTGTTTATATTCTTGCGTGTGGAGAGTGGGAGGTGAAGTCCTTGATGCGGGAAAATTGAATCCATTGAATAAACATGTGTACCGAAGTGGCAGCAACAGCCTGAACTTGCAATTTCTCGAGCTACCGACTAGCAACTATTGCTTTGGTCGCGGGGTGCTAGGATTCAAATACTGGGAGCTTGCCTTGAACCGGAACCTTTACTTCGATAGCTGGATTCACGAATTGGGAACTTCCGTGGAATGTGAAGGGTGTGCAGAGCTGCGGAAACGGGTGGAAGAACTGGCGATCAAGGTCTTCATTGGGCTATGTGTCCCAGAAATTTGCAGCGAAACTGAAATCAGAGAGGAAGTGTCTCCAGGTGCCCTGGATTCAATATGATTCAACATGAAATCACGAACATGAACATGGACTTTGTTTTTGTGGTGCCATTGTAGTTCTTGGTCCCGAATGTGTAGGGAAGGCTTCCGCTTAGGCTTGACGTAAGTTTGAGTGCTGGGAGTTGGACGCAACAGGCAACCTTCACCATTTTTGTGTTCCGGTTCGTCGGTTGTATCGCATATATCACATACACACACACACATATATATATATCAAATTGTCGTTTCTTTTTTAAAAATACTATTTTTTTGTCACGCGAGAGAATGTGCTTGCATGGAGTTTTGTTATAGGAGTTTGTGCCATACAACTGGGCAGCCCAGGATACTTGATGAATGTCCTCAACTCTCCGATTCCGTTCCCTGTGCCTGGAGAGCCACAGCTGGATGTGACGGAATTGTCCCATTGGTCCCAATTTCAACTGGATTTGATCATTGCAGGCTTCAACGACCACAAATACATATTTTCCATTTCTTTAATCATTTTTAACATTTTGTTTTATCACTTTCTTTCTCTTTTTGCTCCCTAGTCCCTAGTTATCATCGTTGCTGTTTTGTTGTCTCACTACAGGTCTTGACAATTGCGGGACCACTTCCTTGGGCCGATGGCTTCAACAGGTGCAAAGCATCGAATTGTCGAATTTGGGTGAAGAGGACGACTTCTTTTTCCGAAACGACCGGCTGCTGCCCTTCCGGTCAGAAGTAGAAGAGTTCAATTCTCAATGGAAGAGTCGCCAAACCTTGAAGGCTTTGAGACATCCTAATCTATGGGCGCATCTTCGGGTCAGGATGGCATTGGCACGGATTCCACAGTTGAAGGTGCTGCTAGTGGTTTGTGACCCACTCAGTCGCATTGATAAAGCTTTTTGGTGGTATCACATTTGTGATCCACCTTTGCCCCATCCAGAGATTGCTCCCTTAGTGCGGCCCAAGGGCTGCTTTGAAAGCATCAGCAGCGTGCTTGAACCCAGCTTCCTTGATCGTTTCAAGGTCCAGCGGCACGTGGAACACTTGAAGCAACTCTACCAACACCGGCTGCGTGTGGTGCATCAAGCGTATATGCGCGAATCCGCCTGGGACACCTTTGTACAGATTGCAGGCTGGATAGGCGTTTCCGTGGTTTCGGCAGAGGTTCGCCTCGGGCGACACAATCATCGGCCAGGGCATCGAACTGATCTTTGCAGGAACTCAACCCTCGTCAACCTGTTGAAAGTGTTGCTGTCTTCGGAGCAGCTTTGAGTGGATTATAAAAAATGATGCCGACCGAATTTGACTCCGCATTTTTGGGCACAGTTCTGTGAAGTTTTATTTACGTACTTTACAACATGTTACATATATATATATATGTGTGTGTGTGTGACTGTGTGTGTATAGATTTTTTTCACTGGTTTTGGTCTTCAGTTGCCAGGTATGACTTCTTGGAGAGATTGTTGGCAGATTCCAGGCTCCCCTTCACACAAGGCTTGCCAAAAGAATTGCTGCGGCGAGAAACGCGGTGTGAGAGACCCGAAGAGTTGATTGAACCATCACCACGCAGCTGATTATCTATGCTGATGTCGGGTCAAATCCATTCTGGAACTGGGAACGGCCGGCAGCAATTCAGCTAAAAGCTGCACAGAAGATGGATTGAATGCACTCTTCCCAAAGCTGGCGTGGAATGGCCTCGAAGCGTGTTTGTTTTGGAGCTGCTCGCCTGACAACCCTGAGCAGTGATGCTGTCTGATTGTCTCGCACCTGGCGCCTGAACGAAGCTAAGCAGAGGGTGAACATGCATCCCGAGCACGGAGTCACATTCTTGTGGCGAGCTGATGCAAGCAAGCTGCAGCAGACAATGCACGAATACTTAAGGTGGAGAGTTTCACACGGCGCGGGCCAGATAAAAGGTATAAAAGGTGCAAAAAAAGCAGAGAAACAAACAGTCCAATCAGGATCAAGGATGGCAATCCTTCTCAATCTTTTGTCACAAGACAAGCCAATGACCACCCTTTCAGTCAGGCATGAATAATCCCGATATGTTTTGCAATCGAATGATCGTAGTCCACCTCAAAGTGCGCAGGCGCCCGTGAGAAAGAGCCAAGGCATGGCCGACGAAGGCTGGACAGCCACTGAATGTTGACAGGCGTCGGGGAAGCGTCAGCCAGGCTTTGTATGGGTGAGGCGTTCGCTTGTGACCCTAATTTGCTGATGGTGATGAGGATCGTGCGGAGGTCTGCAAGTGGTTTTGACCGTTAGCATACCCCAACCCACCCCCCAAGTGGTTTTAGACGTTAGCGTACACCATCACACACCCATGCTGATGGTGATGAGGATCGTGTGGAGGTCTGCAAGTGGTTTTGAACGTTCGCATACACCACCCCGCCCCCCCCCCCCCCCCCCCCCATGCTGGGGGTGCTGGGTTTTGTCGCCAGTGATCGGCAAAACTGTTGTCGCAAGTGTATGGCGGATCCATTGTATCTATGTTATTGATGTGTTGGGGTGCCCGTGAGACGAGTTTCAGGTCAAACAGTGGAAGAGCCAAGGCGGCAGAGAAGCAGCAGTGATCCTGGAGACATTTCTTGGTGTTGCATTATTATGTTGCATTTGTTTGTGGTTAGAGAAGGTGCCCGGCACCCTTTCCCCAACCCGAATGTTTGCATCTGGAAATGTCAGCAGTGTCGTTCATGGAAACGAAAATGATGTTTTGGCACGCATGCCGCGTGTCCAAGTCCGCAAAGCTGTGAGAACCCACTGAGGCAGAACAGGCCTGAGCTCATGTTGGACTTGTACACCCTGTTGATTTTACAAGGTCAGCCCGCCAGTTGAAATTGGCACAGTCAGTTGGAAGGATTGCAGTTTGAAGTAGGGTCTGGGAATGCAAGCACGTGGTTCAGAAGACGGTTGCTCCGTTTGCCTGTGAGTTGTTCACATGCAGAGAGTAGACAGAGGCAGTGTAAACAGAGGCTGTGTCCCACTTGGCCGAACTTGGTGGGATGCTTGCAAGATTTGGCTTTATTTTTGAGCACTTGCAGGCTTTCACGGCGCAACATCAGCCACATAGATATACAATACGACCCCAAAGATATACACAAATGCTTGAGAACAACAAGTGTAAGAGCCATTATATGAGGCTTCGTGAAGATCCTTTGTTAGGTTGGCTGGCATGTGCCTGGGTTGACTCCCTTGGATCTGGAATCATTGGGAGCTTGTACACAAAATTGCGATGCAGCCTTGATATGCCTTGATGCCATCATCTGAAAGCCTGCCGCGCAAGCGGCTCAAATCAGAGGGTCCGGGGCCATTGTGGAAGCTGGGTGGAGAGAATGTTGCTGGGATTGATTTTTTTTGGGTTTGATGCCTCCCTTTTTTCCACTTGAGCACCGCAAGAAACCTCCCAAGATGAACTAAGTAAAGGCCTTGTCATATGGAACTTGGACGTAAGCAAAAACCTGAAAAGCGTAAGGTTGCGTAAGGGAGTTGTGAGACATGCATGTTGCGTAAGCTTGCCATATGGTCGTGTTTTCATGAGTAGGTTCCTAGCACACACTTGTCAAGAAAGGAACTGTATGGACCTTGGGAACTGACATTTGTGCCTGTGTTTCAGGTGTGTGCACTGTGCTTGTTTGTGTGTGCCACTCTGTATCAAACCTTTCTCAAGTCAGCCCATCATGACATCTCATAACATGCCAGGCTCCGTTTGGTGAGGGTTTGGTGGCGTAAGGTTCGCGTAAGCTCCGCGTAAGGTTCGCGTAAGCCAACTTTTCGTTTGCCTACCTCCGCTCACCTGCAAAAAGGAGCCTTCGCGGAAGCATTTCCCTTGGGAGTATGGTTCTCATTTGTAAAAATACAGAAGCGTAAGATCTGCGTAAGGTCTTCTTCAACATCCGTGGCGCGTAAGCTCACATTGTGGTCGCGTAAGAAAAGCGTAAGCAGGAGCCTTACAAAGTAATGCGACATAGGGGTTTAATCATACTTTTTTTTGCAGAGCTCACTTGATTTGATGACGTTTCGAAACGTCAAAGGGGTCGTTAGCCACTAGCCAGGCTGCTTTGGCTTTGCAACGCTGTGTCAGTGCAGAAGATGCAGAGGCATTAAAGGTATTGCGCAGTGCTGATGTCAATAGCGCCACCGCTCAGGAGGCGATTCAGGTGTTGGAATCTCGGCATGGACGGGGGTTTTGGCAGAAGGGCATGGAGCTCTGTACAGATGGTGAGTTCATGGAGCGGCTCCTGGCATGGGGTCGCACGTTTGCGCTGAAGATGGTAGACAAACCTTGGAGAGCACACGTGTACAAACATTACAAGCTTCAAGTTGCCTACATCCAGGAGTATTTTTCAGCCAGAGCTGCAGTTGTCAAAGCAGAATTGCACGAGTTGAAAGAGCTGGCCGCTATAAATGAGCAAAGTGACCAAAAGTTGGAGACAGATAAAGATGAACATACTATACCCTGGCAACGTTTCTTCGGGCACATCAAGAGGACGCATGCAGCAACCCTTGTGGTGTTAGCTAATGCTGTATTTGTTGTTGACTAGTCTGCAATGTTGCGCTTGATAGCGCTCCGGGCAGGGCACGTCCAAGCTAGGGGTTCGGACATTGAGTGACCTCCCACCCTGTACCACATGGCCGGGAATAATTGGTAGATATTGGATGATATTGGTAGCATACTGTGACTCAACCCTTTCAGATGACATTTCGCAAAAGGAACGGGTGCGGTTCTGTTTGCTTACATCTCACACTGAACCCCGGGCACTTGCAAGCCTTTCATGTCAGTCCATCACCCGTTGCTTCTTATGTACAAACTCACAAGCACGCTCATATTGTTTAATTACTGTAATATGATCTTCTACGTTTGTTAGTCTTATATACATCGTTATGATTCTTATCGGAGTTGACACCATTTGACATGTTAAGACGAGCAAACGCACAAACAACTCCAAAGGTATTATACATATGTGTATTTACAATATTCCCCAATAGCCATGCTATGGGGTCTTGCAAAACTAATAGGCGGACGGGCGCCGTCGGGTCACCGTCAGAGCTGGTGGGCGGATGGTGTCCCGGTCATGTTTTGATGGCGTCCGGGTCATGTGATGTTGGTGTCCCGGTCATGTTTTGATGGTGTCCCGATCATGTTTTGATTGTGACCCAATCATGTTGCGATGGTGTCCCGATCATGTTTTGATTGTGTCCCGGTCATGTTTTGATGGTGTCCCGGTCATGTTGTGATGGTGTCCCGGTCATGTTGTGTCCCGGTCGTGTTGTGACGGTGTCCCGGTCATGTTGTGATTGTGTCCCAGTCATGTTGTGACGGTGTCCCAGTCATGTTGTGATGGTGTCCTGGTCATGTTTTGGCGGTGTGCCGGTTATGTTTTGATGGTGTCCGGGTCATGTGACGGTGTCCCGGTCATGTTGTGATAGTGTCCCGGTCATGTTGTGATGGTGTCCCCGTCATGTCATGCTGGTGTCCCGGTCACCTTGTGATGGTGTCCCGGTCATGTTGTGATGGTGTCCCAATCATGTTGTGACGGTGTCTCGGTCATGTTTTGATGGTGCCCTGGTCATTTTGTGATGGTGTCCCGGTTATGTGATGATGGTGTCCAAGGAAGAGATGGTCGATGTGTTGAAAACAGCAGCTGTTTCCAGAGTTTTCTTTTGTCCCGGTTTGTATCTGGCTATTGGGGTCTCCAGCTGGGCTAATTACTATATGCGCACATTATATACTTTTTGGTGCTTTTTGCTGATTTGTGGCGTTCTGGACAATTCAAGACATTTAAGGGGTTTAAAGAACAGGCTCACATTAACCAATTCAATTAACCATAGTATTGATTACATCCTTGATCGATCTTCGATACTGTTGGGCTAGCCAGGAGGCCCCCGCTTAGCCATAGGCCTTCGTGAAACGGGATGGATCCTTTAGCTGCGTGCAAGCCATATTCCGTATTACGCTGTTTCAGGATCTTTTTGTCACTTTTCGCACGAGCAGACCAATCATTAAGATAGGTTCGGTCGACCACCTGAACAAGCTCCATCAGCCTCGGTGGCTTTGCTGCCAAAAGATCATTTATCTTCTCTAGTTGTTGGCTAACTTGCCTACACCCGGCCCAAATCCGAACTCAAGTGTCACCTTTGCACGCCCACCACGTTGGGGTCGACTGACTAGCCGCACTCTGCCCTGATCTTGGAGTCGCAAAGTCAACCGCAAGCAGGAACAAGCATGTGCGCATTGTCGATCTGGCTGGTGGCCCTGGATGTTGCGCAGCTGGTGCTTGCCAATTCTTCAACGAATGGTTTGAGACTTTTCGTTGTTGGGAGTTGCTTCATGCTTCACGATGCTTCACTAATTTTCCATGTGGTACTGGAGGGCCCTCATGAATCAGCCGTAGAAGACGATTAGTTGACACCAAGATAGACACGAATAAGTCACTCAGGTGGGTGTGATTGGGTTTTGTCGTTGTTGCATCAGTGGCTGGCGCTGTCGTGTTGGTGGCTGTTCTTTCCGGTTGTCGTTATGAACAGCGTTGTTGCCATGGATAATATTCATAGTGGTGATAGTGGTTGGATGTGTTTTTGGTTCCGGCTCGATCTACGGGTTGTTGTGCTGGGATGTTGTTGTTGCTGTTGCTGCTGTTGCTGTTGTTGCTGTTGCTGTTGCTCGTGCTGTTGCTGTTGCTGTTGCTGGTGCTGCTGTTGCTGCTGCTGCTGCTGGTGGTGTTGTTGTTGTTGATGATTCTGTCAACAGCCTCATGCCCTCGATCATGAGTCGCAAAGCGCAGCAGTACTTAGGACGAAACAAACCAATGCAGCATCCACGCAACCGTGCTGGATCCTGTGGAGGAATGGGCTTGGTGTAGCGAGAAGCTGGGTTTCAACTTCAAGTTTCTCGACTCACCATTTGCCAACTGTACGACATTCTCATTCCACACCACACGACGCACACTCTATCACGTCATTACAACGCATGAAACATGTCACAAGATTGGTTGATACTGCTTGGCAAGGAAGAAGGACCTATAGTAAATGAGCATATGGATGCATATGGCATGTTGGTTTCTTATCAGCCAATTGAAATCCATTTGACATATTTCCAGAGAAATTGCACTTGCATGTGAATCCCAAGGCTTTGCTCCTCGCTGTCAGACATGCTTTTGGACGACAGCACCTTCACAGCAGATGTTGTGCTCGTTGGCTGGGCGATGAACTTTGCCTCCAAGCTGTTCTGGAAGCGCTTGCATGTGGCCTTTGGCCAGCGTGGCGTCCTAGCAAACTGCAACCGATATGCCTTGATCATGGTCATGGACCGTGGCATGGATCAGCTGCGCTTCAAAGATCATCGGCAGCGAGTGCTGCAGAGGCCCCAAGTGATTCAGAGGGACCATGGAATGAACGTTACCTACTCCTTCCTAATTGGCGAAGAAGAGGCGGAAAGCACGAGCTCTGACCAATCCCCGCTGAAGCTCTCTCCTAGCTGCAGGCTCGTGCAGGCTGCCTAGCTTGGACAGTCTTTGGAATAGATGTGCCTCCGCAAAAGGGCGAAGCTCGACACATGGAATGCCGAGGACTTCTTGGCGCATAGATGCTGACCTGGTCACAGAACAAGGTAGGCGGTAGGAGGGCTTTTTTGTCCATGTCGCTCGGCTTGCCAGCAGCTCTTGCAGTGTGGCACCCTCGTATCTCCTAACAAAAGGACCCCACCGAATTGAATTGGGAATGACACGGAATGATCAATTGCAATGCATTGTTTCTTTCTCGTGTCTTTTCGAGACATCCGCAGCTCAGTCGCTCCTGCACCTCCACCATCCCACAGAGTGGGCTTTGGTTGTGTGAAATGGGCGAGCCTGGAAATTGAGTGCGAATCATTGATCGAACTGATGTAAACGTTTCATGATGTTTCCTGGCTTTCTACGGATGTGATTTGTTTGAGGGCTTTGAAAATCATCGCAAAGCATGTTGAATGCCCATTGAGAGGCTATTGGTGGTGCAGTGTGGGCTTATTGCAGAGGCAGGGGCAGGGGCAGAGGTTGGAGGCATGAGGAACATTAATGTACTATCAATAATCAAACAATCGTTTTTGAAGGGCCTACGGGCCTCAACACGTGGGAACGCTACAGATCATAGATTATCAAAAATCAGCGGCATCCATTTGCGGAAGACATACATTTTTCTGGGCGAGGGCCTCCTGCGGGTGTCTACTAGTTACATCTAGTCATACATCTAGTCACATATGCATGTATACTGTATTCATATATATATATATAAATTATAGATGTATGTGTATATACGTAAAATTTTTCACAGCCACACACACACACAGCAGTTGTTGCATGTTATTACTAGTTGGCGAGTGAATTGATCAGGCGGGGCTTGCTTGGCCACAGCCTGCATTTTTGGTTCAAGGCCTGTTGGAGCCTGATTTCGAGGGCTCACCAGTCGCAGCGTGGCGAATTTGAACGTAATGAAGACTCATGCATGCTTGCCATTGCCATCCTCGACCCTCGGCATTGCTAGTCTTAATGATGGTTACGGTGGTTTCTTTGAATCACCCGCTGGCCATCCCATTTTGCGCATGAATAAGTCATGTCCACATGGGTTCTATGATTATGTCTTCTCGCTGGTGTTGCAGCATGCAAGGTATTTTTCAACGCTATTTTGCACTGAGGATACTGCAAATGTGCAGCCCGGTGCAGCAAAAGGCCGAACCTAGCCGGGAATACACCATGTCACCGGGGCCAATCAGACACTATACAGCCACTCAGCCTGCATTGGAGTCTTATGCTGAACCTTTCGAGTGTGACCTGGCACTTGAAGGTCGAAGGAGGAGGCCTTTTCTTCCTTGCGCTAACTTGTTCCCTGCGAGCGGTGCCATGAGGCGAGTGTCCCCACTACTCTGCCTCCCATGCGCACAGCCCCACCGATCATTGTTCTCTACGAAGCTTTGTGGCTTTGGTGGCACAGTCACAGTGCAGCTTGCTGCTTCTGAACTTTTTGTGTTGATGGGATGTGCAGGGTTAGATGTGTTACTGATACTGTCTATCAGGATGATGTGCATGTTTCAAGAACAGGGTGACATGCAAGGCCCAGAAGAAGCCTTGGGAAATTCCCGGGTGTTTGCATGTTGGCTGGAAGGCAAACGGCGACCAGCCCATTGGCAGAGGCTTGCATCCTTGGATCTTGGTCTCGTTAGACAAGCCTGCCGCACTGCCGAAAGGGAGAGTGTCCGCCTAGTGACTAGTGCTTGTCTAATACGCTGCCACTTTTGCGTGTTGAATCTCTGGTCCACCTCGTTTACTCTTCTATACTTGGTCACCTTGCAAAGGTTTGGTAGGATCTATCCACTTTCTTTTTCTTATCATTGTTCTTACCGGGGCCACAGCTATGCATGAGCAAGCCTGCGAAACGTCTGGAACGAATTGTGCACTGCATTGGGGTACACGTTTGATCCATGTACAGTCAGCTTCTTTTGGGATCCCCAGGCCTGCAATGGTTCTCGTGCTTGTAGCTGCTAACTTGATGGACGTTTTGCATACCTTTTTAATCCTTTTAGTTTGGTCCAAGAAGCGTGTTTCTTTTGTTGCAGAGTTTGAGTCAGCGTGTGATGATTATATTCATCTACACAATGGAGGCGTCACCACTGCATCCGGCACAGACGAGCTTTGGGCTGGCACCCAATTACAGTGAGTTGCAGGCATGGCTGAAGCTTCGGACTGTAGATAGAAGGTTCGGCTTGCACCCACAGTCTTCCATAGAGAGAGCATCATGAGTCTGAGCCTGCATGTGATTCCAAAACATTTGGTATCGCTGTCCATGTTTTGTGGCACCTACTCAACAGATCTTATGAAGCCCGGCTGTACATTTTGAGGGGGCGCCTACCTTGCCGGCGGCTGCCCGACAAAAAGAGAGCTTTGAGACTCAGCTTGTTTAAGTTTGCTTCATGCGTTTGTAGCCGACATCCCAACTGTGCAGTGTTCTTATCTGAGGAATCGTCGAATACTTCCAGTGTAAGCTCGGCAGAGCCCAAGAAGCCACAGCGCCCCTAGTTAGCACATAGTGACATAGTGGCACAGGGTTGGGCGCTCCGTCCTCCAGGACTGTAATGAGTAACAAGTGCCACGCTACTAGGAACAAGATGGAACAAGTGCCTCACTAGTAGTAACAAGTGCCTTACTACTAGTAACACCCGAGTCCATTTGTATGCTTCTCATGCAGGAACAACACAGTGCCATGCAAGACTTGTTCATTCCCGATTTTATTAGAAGCAGTCGAGGATGCCTCAAGGTCTCAAGGTCAAACATGCTGCAAGCGCATTCTCTAAGCAATGCTAGCATGATTTCGGCTTCTAGACTTTTGATATGCTTTTGGTGGCGCTAGATCAACCAAGGCAAGGGCTCTGGATATCGCAGACAAAAGAACATTGGTTGCTGTTGAGGGTGGAAAATGCGAGCGCGCGAGACCTCCAAAGTTCCTGTGAAGGAGCCAGTTCGAAGCGCAGTAATCAATTCAATTCAAGGAAGTGTCAAGTTACCATCATGCCAGCATTGCTGTAGGGCTTGCATTCTGGCATGCACGTCAACTTGTTCCAGGCCCTTCTTCGCTCTTGTAGCATGTGGTATCGCTGATGCCTTTCGACAGACTTGTGATTAGAAACACATGAGTGGCCCCTTGATAGTGGTGAATCACCCTTGGAGAGCTGTCAATCCCATCCCTTGGGTACACACACACAAACACCTAGTATATATATATTTTATACACTGTATATATAATATTTAGGCTAGTATACGGTATATATACGCATTTGTGTGTGCACCTGGTGCCTGGTGCTTGATTCTCACACTCACCGCCAACGTCTTGCCATGGTTTCGGTGACCCATGCTGGCAGCCAATGTGGCCCTGGCTGTGCTTCTCGCTCAAAGAAGCGTGGCAGCACAGATTGCACCTTGGCAGGTGCAGAGAGCACAGCGAGATCGTCCATGGCTTTTGATCAAGCAGAGGTTCACACTTTTTGCGGTACAAAGCACGCATTGCCATTCCGTTCCGCGCCAATTCAGCCTCTCCCTCCAATCCCTGTATTTATTATTGTCCACATTCGTGAGCCATTTAAAGAAAGCATGAAGCTGTAGTAGATTGTAGTAGGCAACTAGTGTTGACAGTTGACAGACCCTCAACATGTTCTGGGGTGCTGTGTGACGTTGCTTCTGCAAGAACTCTTGTAAGAAAACCGATGTCACTGTCATTTGCTTTGACCCTGCATTTCCCTTCCAAGGGCGATGCAGATGCCAATTGCGTTGGTTGGTGGGCGAGGCTGAATCTTCCCTGTCCCGCTTCTGTTTCTGAGACTCCTGTAACATAAAGCTACTAGGGGCTCCTGGCCTTACTACTGGGAGCAAGGACGCTACTAGGGCTCCTGGCATCGCTACTAGGAGCAAAGACGCTACTAGGATGGTAGGGACGGGTTGTCGAGGCAATGCCGCTGGGGCCGCCCAGCACCTGAAGGGCTGAGCTCCGAAGAAGATAGCGCCTGCAGTGCCAGCGGTGAAGCCTTTCCACCAGTGCCAGGTAGGAGATGCATCGCTAGTAGTAACAAGTGCCTTACTACTAGTAACAAGAAGCTACTAGTAACAAGTGCATCGCTAGTAGTAACAGGTACAGAGTCTGGGATCCTCTGAGCATTTGACGTGTTTGGATGGGCAGATGAACTCTTGGGCTGAGAGCCAGGTGCTACATGGGCAAAGGTCCTGGAGCAAATGACGAGGTGCCACGTTAATCCCCAGACTGATGCCCAATTATCACGCCTTAAGAATTTTGATATTTTGATAACGTTTGGAACCACAAAATTGGCCGTGACCGGCAACCTGCATGTAAATTGGAACTCTATCAAGCGTCCTCTCAATCTCAACAAACTCTGATTTGTTGTTGATGTGATGCGATGTGTTGATGGAACGGTTTCCTCCCATCAGCCAAGAGTCATGAGTGGAAAGCACCCTTGTCGCGTGCTCATAATATACTGCCCTTCAAATACTTAGAAACAGGTTTGGAAAAAGAATTTGGGTTTAGAGTGCATGGTAACTTTCCTAATTACACTTAGAAATTGCGGCTACACTTAGAACTTGCGCCCCTGCTATTCCCGCAGGCCCAGGCTTAGAAACGATGTCGTACACTTAGAAACATCTAACAGCAAAATAAACATGCATGAATGCAAGCGTTGGCTTGGATGCCCTATCATCCATCAAATGGGTGTACTTTCAATTTGTAGACACATAGAAGCACAGTCTGTTGTAAGGAAACTGTTCTATCTCGCCACAGTCCACAGCCTGCAAATCACAGATGTACCGCGGTGCTCTTTGCACCGCTTCTGCCCAGAAGAAAACGTGCCGCTTTTGTGCCATAACAGTGGTAGTGTCTGTCTTGTTTCCGTAAAAGCTACTCTTCTGTGGTGTCAGAGGCGGTAAAGGTTCAAACACTATTTTTTTACCCCTTCTAATCCCTAAGGGAAGGTGGCACAAACGAAAAAGGATGCTCCCCGATGCATGTGACTGCAGTGGATTGGTGAGGCCTTCTCTGAAACATGGTTTGTTCATATATGTTCTAAACAAACCACAAGATTTCTAAGTGATTGATGTCATTTCTAAGTGTGTTTCCCTTAGCAGTGCCGGAAATATATTTAAGTGGACAACACTTATCACTATCCTTCAGGAAGTTTCTAAGTGTCTTCTTGCGCTCAGGGGTTCTAAGTCTTCTGCATGGACTCTGTGTTTCTATGCCATGGGAAAATTAGTTTTGGAAAACAAATAGGGTTCTAAGTAAAAGTCCGTCACTATATATATATATAGATATGACTGATACACCTCAGGCTTTGAAGAAAGCAACCCTGACCTCCGTGCATTTCTGTGCTTCATGATGTTCCTGGTGAGAGGTGCATCACAGGATTCTATGAGGGTCGCTACTTGGAGGTCCAGTGGGATCCCATAAATTTCTGGCAACATTGGCCGATGGATGGTGATTTGGATGTCCCAGCTGCTCAGATCAAAGTAACAAAAAGGTATATATTCCTGCCTGCAGGTCAGACATGATCAGTTCATTTTGATGCAGATGTAAGATGAAGTATATACATTGGCAGTCCATGTGCTCTTAGGCCACATTCGGCATTTGCATCCCCAAAGGCCGTTGCCAAGACTTTGCAATCCAGTGGCTCCTCATCCCACTTTTGTGGGTCTATGTGAAGAAAGGTGGCCCGCAACATGTGAATCATCATGAGCCTTTGTCTGGCAGCGACTTGAGTGTGCATAGATGGCATAGATGTCCTCCTCGCAGTAACTTTGTGCCATTCAGAGTAGCCAAGCCACGCAGAGTCAGAAAAACAGCCGCTTTCTTTGGACTGGCCCAGGAGATCTTCCAACATGCCAGCAACTTGATGGAGTTGGGCTCCCAACCTCCGGGGCATCCCAAGCTGCTGCAGGGAACCAAGCTCAAGGTGCTGCGGGGGTTGGCATTCTGGCACAAGGGGTGTCAACGGGCGGTGGCTGGTGTTTTGCGTGTTCAGCTCGGGCTTTCACTCTTCTTCTGTGCAAGCCGTTGGGGGAAGCCTCTTTTGATCTCTTTTAGTTGACTCTTGGCTTGAGGAGTCCATCTACGACCGGGCTATGCGCGAGTTAGAGCGTGATGTTGATGAATCCCAGCATTCCAGCGGCGTCGTGTGCATCGTGGGGCACCTGCGCAGCTTCGGGGAAAGAGCTGTGTACGAAAGCTTACGACGCAACGTCGCTATGCAAGAAGCGGCAAACGAGACAGACACAAGAGGGAGAGAGAGAGATTGTAGCTTGACCTGAAAAGGTCACAATGACTGATCGGATGTCCTCAACCTCTAGTGACTCTAGTTGGCCCAATGGCAATGATCACTTTTGTCTAGAGTAGAGGCTCTTGTGTCATCTTGTGTCCTTGTTAGTTCCTCATTCATTGAGGGTTGCTACCGTCCAATCTGAAGGACTTTGCGGCATGTTGTGGCCACAGCTCACAGCTGCTTCTTTGTGGCTTTCAAGGTCATTGATGCACTTCGATTCTCAGATCTTCGCACGGTTCTTGTCACGGAGTTCGGGCCGCAAGCTCCAGCGGAGGAACGACACAACCCTTGGCGAAGTTGGGGAGAGATGGCTGATGCTTTGGAAACAGTCGCGCCCGAACCCTGGCGCAACAGGGTTAAAGGAAGCACGCAGGAAAGATAAGCTCGCACATTCAAACAGTGCCATGGTTGTGGAACGACCCCCTTATGCTTATGCTGCTGCGTGGAACGTTGCTCCGTTCTGTTTGGTGCCTCTCAGGACGTCGTTGTGAACATTCCGGTGCACATTGAAGGACGGGAAACTGAAACTGCAGATTGGCCTGATGGTTGCAACAACCCCCCGACCTAGCCACTATAATTTAGCCCCTTGTTTGATTTGACATTGACCCAGATACTTGGAAGCTACGGGGCTATAAGAGCCCTTTGCACCAAGTTTTGATTGCAACTTTTTGCTTGGAACGGTGGAACGCGATGGAGCCAGGCCCTGATCACAACTCTCATTTTTTGCATTCTGAAGCCGTCCCCCGACCTCGTCACATTGCTTGTTTGTGCTTCCTGATTTTGCATTCGGGATCCGGCTGGGTAGATGTTTTTGCTGAACATTGCTAGGACATCCGCCGGGGAGACGTTGCCATGAGAAGTATCCCATGTCTTGCAATGCGCAGTGGCGGCGTTTGGAGCTGTGCATGGAGCAGGTGAAAAGCTTCGAGCCACTTGCCAAGATGACCGAACAACACAAGTGAGTTTAGCCTTGAGGGCTGGTAGAGGCCTCGTGTTCAAACATGTTACAACAATTTAATACAATTTAAGGGTATCCTGGTCCCAACCCGCTTCCTCGCTCAAAATGTGTTAAACAGAAAGTCGAAAGTCTCACTGACAGCCGTGCTATTCTTGCCAGCTGAATTGCAACCCAAATACTTCAACTTGCCAGCGCACAGCACACCCATCAATCGAGGCAGCTTCGAGGTGCTCCAGTAGACTGGGTGGTACGAGTTCGCACAGACATGTTCTTCAGCGACTTGGCATGTTGAGCTGCACCACTATGCGGACTATCCTGACGACTTTAAGTGAAGATATGTGCTATGATGGGAAAGTTGGGATGCTGCAAATTAGAGGGTGAGTAGCGAGTGGTGCCTGCAAAGGGTTTTGGTAGTCCAGAAACCGGATGGATTGTGCTTTCGTCACTTTGCAGGTGTACCCATCGGAGATATCCGCGTTTTTGATGCAGGGAAAGTGCATTTGCCCACATCAAGCTGGACTGACGCACATGAGCTTTGGTTTAATTCTTAGATTCTTGTCAGTGCTTTGTTGGTAGGTGGAACTAGGGAACTAACCAACATGAGTCAACCGTGAATCATTTGATTTAATTTAGTCCCTTCCATTGAATCAATGGCATGTCACTATCAGCAATGTATGCCCGTGTGAAGACAATTTTCTCAGTGGAAAACAATGTTGGTAGGCCTGTTCTTGGGCAACACTTTCCTGAGGATACATTTGCGATGATCCCACGTCAGCATGCAGATGTTTACTTCAGCACGTATGCTCCTAAGAGAGGGAGACGTTGGAACTTGCTGGCTATACGGATGCTGAGTCATACCTGTGCCACACTCATTTGCGATGAGGCGGCACTATGATGGGGCCGATTACTGTTGGATCTCACCCAGGGAGAATATCAGGTGCTTTTGCGAGTTGAATGGGCAACGTTTTCCGAAAAATCCATTGGCCCTAGTTGCTGGTGTGGATTTTGAATGATTTTGATTAAGACTCTTTGTAATTGTAGGTGCGGGCTGCGCATGTTGCAGAGGATTTTCCAAGTAGTGCTTTCTGTTTTGGAGGTCTGACGACTGCTGCTTGGCAAGTGGGAGAGGAAGGAATTGGACCGCTGTCTGCAGACAAACTTGACATGCTTTTTTTGTGGCTTAAACTCAGTCATGTGGCACTTTTGTAAGTAAGTAGGGCCTCCTGGATCAAGACCAGCTACGTAGTTGCTTGAACAATGTCAAGAGCCATGTCAAATGCTTAATTTTGCCAAGCCAAGGCTGTCATCGCTTGAAGCTCCAACTGCTGAAACATGAAGTGCCTGTGAAGCGCTTTGCCCTACTGTGGCAACCTTGGGAGATCCTCGTCTGCCAACTTAGCATAGCGAAGAAATACACAGAGAGGCTTGTGTTTGTGTGAGCGAAGCTTGACGAGCTCTCTACGTTACTTTTAGAGATTGTTTGTATCAAACTTGGGCGTGCCTGCTCGAAGGATCATCGACCGATACATCGTGCAGCTTGGCTGCGTTCGATGGCCTGTGCAGTTGCACTCAGATCGTTGTGGGTACTGCAGCGTTTGCTGTAGTTCCATTTTGCCTTCACTACCACACTGTATCATCTCGTGTGTGTTCAATTCCCTGATTGCCACACTGTGTGCCTTGTTTGTGTCCTATACACCACCTATACACTACCTATACACTACCCCTCGCCTTTGGTTGTGCTTTGCACTTCTTTGGAAGCCTTCAAGCCTCCTGATACAATATGTGGGATCAATCAGTTTGAATTTGTGCCCAACTGAGGCGGCCCACTACATGGAATGGCTCCAAGCTCTATGGCCAGTCTGTGACATCGGGGTTGACATGACATGGACAGCCAATAGCCCAGATGCCAAAGAGTCAGAGTCAATACCTCGAGGATGAAGAGCACATCAGAGCATCACATGGCATTCAGCGGACGAATGTAGAGATTCATGCTCTTCACTCTTCACGTCTCTTCATGCAGCTGGGAGAAGATGTGGTTGCTTGGATGTCGAGCTTGTGAGAAGATAGCGCTACGATGGACTGGATCAAGATTGGCTTGGGACACCGGCAGTAGTACTCACTTGCTCCGTGGGGATGCGAAGAGTTTCAGAGTTTCACTTGAAAAGGCGCAACTTTGTTCAACTGTTTCACGGCCCGATGCTTGCCAAAATGCAGTGCAGACGCCTTTGGGTGGGTGGCGGATAGCCTCTAAAGCAGAATCGGGGTCAAAATGGACCACAGCAGCCGAGCACCAACGTTGCAGTGCGGCCTGAGTTCACAACACAATCAGAAGTTTTGTCATTGCCAAAGATGCCCAGTCTCTATCTCATTGCTGCTGGCTCTCGTGCATTCTATCATTTGAGACTTTGCATGCATGCTAGACTAAGCAGAGAGAGTCTTGGAAGGCAAGGTTCCACCAGAGCCAACACCACAAAAAGATCATATATATATAATATTATATAATTGCATTCTTTAAGGTTGAACGTGCAATCTTTCGTGCTCAAGACTCAGGTGCATGGATTGGGCCCCTAACTTGTTAGGTTCCTGATTTCAGGTGTGCAGACTCACTGGTGGGGCTCGGCCTGTCCGTCTCTCTGCGGCAGGCTTCCCTTTGTCCGTGGCGGCCTTTCCTTCCAGCCCTCCCTCTGGCCTTTTGACTTCAGTGGTCTTCACGGTTTGGTGCTTTGGACTTCCGCCTTCACGTCCGTCCTGGATTCCGTCCTCAGCCAACTCCAGGCCGCCTTTACCTCCTGAGAGAGTCAGGGCCTACTTGAATGAGCATCCGCTCATCTCCCTCCCGCGGCGAAGACGAGGAGCTTAACCTGTCCTTGGAGTTCCAGGGGCTACAGATCTCAGTGCGGGGGAACGCTGAAAAGGCTGCTGCATTTGTTCAGCGGTTGGCTTCAGACGCTGGCCCTGTTGCTACCGGTGCTTCTGGCTCTGCTGGATACCCTCATCCGGTGGTGCTTCCGGTGCCTTCATCGGCTCCCAGTGTTGCTTCGTGGCAGGAGGTGGACCCGTCGACACCGCCAACAAGGTACGAGAGCAGGGATTCGATTGAGGCTTCATTCGCAGCTTGCCCTCCTACTTTGCGTGCTTTGGCCTCCTCTCTGTCAACCACCTCAGCAGGTTGGACCGCAGAGCAGCGCATCCAGCGGGCTTGGAAGGCCGGGAGCTGGGCTGGAGCTGTCCGGGCAGGACGTGTGAACAGGACCCCAACCATCGACATCGGCAACCGCTACTACGCAGTGGTCAGGGGCGCCAACATCAGCTCGCCCAAGGTCTACAGGACTAGCAGGGAACTATTCGGTGCTGTGGGACAGCTTGAGGGCTCAGACACCATCTGCCACGGCTTCCCTTCGAAGGCAGAGACTCAGGTCTACTTGGCAGGGGCAGGGTACTTTGACGTGCCCTTCCCTCAGTAGACATGGAAGCAGAAGCAGCGTTGGTGGAGGAGGAGGAGATTATACCGCTCTATGCCGACTTCGGCCCAGCTATGTTTCAGCCCTATGTGTTGGACCTTGCAGGTTTGGGGTTTGCTTCTCCTCATACAACACATTGCATGGCTTGTGTGGTTTTGACAAGAGCAAATGGAGTCCTGTTGGCACTTCCCGAATTAGCAGTACCTGGCGACGCCCTGGCACGAGGAGATACAGCAGATGCACACGCTCTGGTGGGACCCCATTTGAAGCTGGATGTTGGAGCTGCAATGTTGGACGATGTTTCAGTCCTGCAGGAGCCTTCTCCGGTGGTGGACCGTTCCGTCTCGGCAGAGCTGGTGGATTTCAGTGCAGAGGTCCTAAGGTACCTGAGAAGTATAGAAGAGGTCTCAGAGGTGATGTCCGCCCTGTCCTTCGACTACCGAGAGCCGCTCCTCATCCCCGCGCCAGAGATTTTGGTTGCGAGGGCTCGAATGGGCAAGAGGAGGGTTGGACTCAGTGGGGGAGAGAATCTTGTTCTACTCGGCCGACGAGGTGCCACTGACACCTGGCCCCCTCGACGACGGTTTGGAAACACCCAGAGGTGGAGACGAACCACCGGCGCAGATTCCAACGCGTCGGCGGGCAAACACTCCGCATGGTGGAGGAAAAGGAGGACAACAAGCTACTACGTCCCCACAGAAGAAGAGGCCCACAGTCGCATCATTGGCTCAGAGTTTGGAGCAAATCAGTCAGACGCTTCCGGCTTTGGTCAACCAAGTGCAGGGCCTATCCTCGAGGACTGCAGCAATGGAAGCAACAACCAAGCAGGTGACCGACAGATCATCAGCCTTGCGAAAGCCCATTGGCAGCTTGACTATGCCTGGATCACCAAGTCCCTCCAACTTGAAGAGCTTGGTGGCGGTGATGCCTCCGCCCAAGGCAACTGGGGTTCAGAAGCCGAAGGTGGTCTTCACTCAACAAGACACGGAAGGCTATCATGGTGGGCCTATTTGGTCAGCATCGGCTTTGAAGAGGCTGTTCTCAACTCATGTGCTTTTGGGTCTATTCACAAAAAGCCATTCAGGCTCCTCGGCTGGGGGCTTGATATGGCCCGCCTACGGGTACCGTGCCCAGGAGGTCATCAACATGTCAGAATTGCTGGCAAATACACCAAGCCTTCGGCAGTTTATCATCCAGGAGTTGCTGCACACATCGCCGCCTGCTTTGCGGAAGCACTGGCGAGGTCTGATGCAGAGGCTGATGTACCTGAGGGCCCTAGACTTGAGAGCCTGGTGATCAATGACATCCTTCTGCAAGATGGCTGGTCGACTTTAGCTCATTGGCACTGGAGAAAACCTGGACATATCAATATTCTGGAGAGCCGAGCTTTTGTTGCTTGACGAAGGAGGTGATTGCAGATTTGTTGCCCTCCTTGACAGCCGAGTAGCCAAAGGGGCTCACGCCAAAGGAAGGTCCTCTTCATTTGCCTTGCGACCTTCTTTGCTTCGTTCCTGCGCCTACCAAGTCGCCCGAAACTTACACCCAGCTTTTGGCTTCGCTCCGACTCGCCTGAATACAGCAGATGCCCCCTCGAGAGATAAAGACTTTCCTCAGCCTGCGATGCACTCTTTCTCCACCGCACTATGATCAGAGGAGATCGCTACCTTGCATGGACTTCAGTTCTCAAGGACATCAGCCAATTGGGTTCGGCTCTATCTCTTGGCTGTACTTTGTCTTTGCCCTGTCGCCTTTGCCAGTTCTGGCGATCGCCCTGTCTTTAGCGCATTCAATGGACTTTGGCCATTTGGCTTTGGCCTGGCTTGCTTCCGTTTTCCTGTCTGTTGCCCCACCTCAGATCTGGACTTTCTCATGACTTCTTTCGTTCTTGGACTTCTCTTGAGTCTGCGCTCCTGAAAGGTGGTACCCCCCCAAAGATTGTGATCGGGACCTCCCAATGCCATGCTGCAGCCATTTGGGTCGCGCTTCGTACGGTCGCCGCCATGTCACCCCTGCTAGTAATCAGAGACGAAGTTTTTCGAGCCCAGAGGACCTCTGGGGTCGCTCTGCAATCTGGTAGGGTGATGCTGCAAAGCATTGGGGAGCGAAGAGCAAATCTACTGACGGCCTTTGGCCGATGGCTGAGCAACAACTCGCTCCATGTGGAGACCTGGCATTCAACTGGGTCGTCAGAGAACCCCACGACCATTGTAGACATAGTTCTGCTGTTAGAGGCTGATCTTGCTCAGCTCCTTTCTGCAAAGTGTTTATTGATTCGGTCGTCCTCAATGTCGAGAAAGGGGTTCAGTATTTTGCAAGCTGCACTTGGCTTGGACGGGGGCCATGGGAAGGAAGAGCTTCACTACCTCCTTTTGGGCCTCCGACCTAGTGACGCCACATACAGGTTGCAAACTACAGAAGAAGCTGAGCATATCTGGAGAAAGGGGAGATGGCTTCTGAAGAGGGCTCGTACACCCCGAAGATGACTGTTGAGTCTTTGAGCCGTCCTAGCATCCTCTGCGGGTATTTCATCAAGATCCTCCTCAAAGCTGTCTCCAGGAAACAGACTATGATCCTTGAATGTGTTTGGCCACGACTATGGTGATGCGGGGAATGTGGGAGAGCTGGCCTTCGAGTTTCAAGATGGCAATGGCCATCCACAGAGATCACACCAGCAGGCATGAAAAGATGGAGCTGAAACCTTGCATTCTTTAAGGTTGAACGTGCAATCTTTCGCGCTCAAGACTCCCACCCAGAGGTTTCACCCCACCCTTTCGGCACACCGTCGTGGCCTTCGAGTTTCAAGATGGCAATGGCCATCCACAGAGATCACACCAGCAGGCATGAAAAGATGGAGCTGAAACCTTATATAACATTATATTCAATCTGCTCCAAATGGCCCCCGTTGCTCTGCGCAGGTTCACGGTGAGGCAGAGGCCCGGCGTGAACAGTGGCTTGCGGTATTGCAGGTCAAGGGTATTGATTGACCTCCCAAACTACAATTGTGAGCAACAGAAATCAGTGATCAGGAGAGTTCAAGGAAGAGAAGTTGGAACAGGTGGCACTTGGTTGGACAAGTGCTCAGCTGCAGCTGAATGGACCAAGTTAGTTAGAAGACAAAAAACCACAAACACCAATCTAGGTCTAGGTAGGGTGAATGTATCCGGAGAACCATTGTGTTACACATGCTTTGATCTCAAGGTCCACCCTTATTCTTTTGGCACAAATGCATTGGAGTCGCTTCCCTTCCTTTATGAGAAAGGCAGATAACTTGTGGCACTATGGACGGGTTACTTAAGTTCATCAAGCAGATCCACTTGGCAGAAACCTTTCACAAAGAAACCGTGCGTGCAATTTGACACTGGCGGCTGGTGTCAAACGGTGGACGCCTTAATTTCAACTGCCGAACACCTAGACCAATCACGGGTCTTGTGCATAAATGCATCACAACCTTTCAGTAGTCAAGTCATCCGAATCATTCCTGTCAAATCATTGGACTTTGGTATCTTGTGGGAAGACGACAACGAGACCGTGCAATATGGTCCTGTGACCCGTACTGTGCCTGCGGATGGCTCCAATTGCAAGCGGGAACGGCCAGCTCATTAGTGAGAAGGCCAGGCCTGCGGCGTCTGGATCTTTTTTGCTGTGGTATATCCTTCAATGGACTTCAATGGGTGCGGTGATTCATTCAGAACTCACTCATACCTGCAATCAAAGACTTCTTTGTTTGGGGAACTCTGTTTGTTGCCTTCGCCAACTAAGGCGAGCCTGAAGGACCCTTGCTATATATATATATATGCGTATACTCAGGGCTGATGACATAGGAATTTGCTGGGCTAATGAGATAGGAGTTGGGGCGTATAGGCTATTGCATGATGACATAGGATTCTTTTTTTCCACCATACTTTCACAGCTCCTATCTCATTTCCCGGTAGTTAGTATATATACAAATATATATATATATGTTGAATGTACACAAACACACACACACACCACATATATATATAATACATACTTAAGTAAATATAAATATATACATATACACCGCATGATAGAAATTCACAACTCACAATCATTGTGGAGGTGCCCGGGTTGAATTTCCAAGGCTCCTCAATGCCTGGTCCTTCAATAGTTTGTCGCAGAAAATGTTGGACCCTGCATCACCACAGGCCCCCAGAAACATCCCGAATGAAAGACTAGACTACAACCGTGGCCACTCTGGACATTTTGTTTTGCAACCATGCTGTTCTGAGCAGGTTTGCACCGGCCTGGAAGTGGAGCCCGTGACGGTTTGCGGGCAGAGCTTCCGCATCCTGCGGCGGCGCACGCACTTCTTTGCAGCAGTGGCAGGGGATTTGCCTTTGAATTCTGCCGGCCTGGTGTTGTGGGAGTGGCTCGAAAGTGGATGCTCACCAGGTCCAAGGGTAGACATCCCAGAGCCCTGCTGGTCCTAGCTTGGGGGTGGGCCACCTTATGTAGTGGGCCAATGGAGAGCTGGTCAAACCTATGGTGCCAAATCCCTCCCACAGAACCTTTGAGCAAATCACGCCATCCAAGGTGTGCTCTGCTATTGGCGGAGTACTTGGGCTATGCTGCCTTCACGGCCGACCATCTCAAGCCCAGCTCAGGTTGGTGGCAACTGCATCCGCCTGCAGCAGTGGTCCCGGCCAGGTGTGGGGTGGGCCATTCTTTTCTTGATGAGTCATTCAGTCTTTCTGGAGGATGTGCATCGCTCTGGTGTCATAAGGAACCATCAGGAGGTATCGCGTTGGGGTGCCAGGGTCACATGCCACCCCTCCAGGTTCTGGAAGTCCCAGCCAGCAGTCTTGGAGCTCGGTGGAGGAGCAGGTTTGGTGGCAGCAGCTCTGGCCTCCTTGGGCGCACGTATCGTTTACACTGATGGCGACGAGGCTGCCATCCGCACTGCTGAGCTCAACTGCACCAATGCCCGGGCAGGGCAACGGCGCAAACGCCGACGCGAGCGCAAGCGGGAGCGTTGTGAGGAACATTGGGGCTCCTGTACCTTCCGTCGCCTACTGTTTGGTGATGTTGATGGAGCTCGGAAGATTGTTGAAGATCTCGGGCCTTTTGGCCATGTGGTGGGTAGCGACTTGCTCTATGGTGACAAGGCTCCCCCAGGACCACTGCTTGACACACTGGGCGCAGTTGCCGAGGCACAGGATGAACCATTCCTGGTCACTTTGGCAATCAAGAACCGCTGCTGCGATGAGGTGGAGATCTTCCTCAATGAAGCCCGCAGACGAGGGGTTTGGACTGTGCAGTGCGCTGATACGAGTGCCCTCCCCGAAAGTGGCCTGAAAGCATCAGGACTGATAGAATCGTTCCGTGTTTGATTTCTCTTCTCCTGCTTGCAACTTTGACCTGAGAAAGAATCTCAATGTATTGTCAGAATGTAGGCTACGAGTGCCCGACCTGCTATCAAGGTTTTCAGAAAGAGGCGGACGTCTTCTATGGCGCACCCGGAAAACCTTCCTACTCGGTGGTGCACCTGAGAGGGCTGGAGTTGCTTGGCTCAACAGCAGCTAGGTTGTGCTAGAATCAAGTTGAATCCTGAAAGCAGCATATATTTTTTAGACCGTATATAAAACATGTTATTGTCTTTTTTTCAACACTTTTTTCATATGTCTTTTACTTTTTCTTTGACCAAGTCTTATTCCAAATGCCGCTCAAGACTGATTTCAGTACTCCGCCAAGGTCGAAGGCACCTCCTCCCAAAAAGGTTCGCGAAAGCTGAGACGAACACCGCCAGTGCCAATCTGTCAGCAGCATGCAAGCTGGAAAATTGGGGCAAGATGTTTGCTCGGCGCACAGTGGTTAGTCGTACGCCATCCTTACATCCTTTCATGGGGCTTTAGATTTCGAAGGGCCCCAAGATGGAATGTCAACCGCAGGTGCTTGCTGCCAAGCCAGTTTCCATACAAGCAATAGAGAAGAGAAGACAAGGGTGAGACTCAACAAAATGCACACACGCACACACGGCAGGCCGCACCCCCTGCCAGTGTAAGGCATGATGCAGGTATATAGCCCAAATATGCCCAAATGTTACGAAGATGGCCTCGATTGGCCAGAAGACGAGTATAATTGGGAGTGGGGCCATGCCAGCAGCTGGGAGTGAGGAACGTGAGGACTATCAGCACTTGTGTTGCTGCCCCCTGCATGGCTTTCTGCCCATGATCATGCAAGCGCCTTTCAGCTGATGCTTTTTGGCCCCAGCCATTACCAGCTGCCCTCTTTCTGCCTGGTGCTGCTAACGCCGGTGGCCACAGCTTGGCTAGCTTGCCCAAAGGAGCTTTCTGCTTTTGGAGCCAAGAAATCCATCCCAACGATCCACTCTCAGAGAAAGCATGTTGGAGATGGTGCATCCCCGAAAAGCAGTCTTGTGAAGGCACGCAGGAGATCCACATTGGGGCATGTAAATCTTGGAGCAGTGACTTGTTCCCAGGAGAACCCGCGGAAGGTTGCCAAGCCGCCCCCCACACGCCCGGGAGAGCGAGGGCTGCAGCTACTAGGATGGCGAGTCCTGGATTTGAGGCGGCTCTCACCAAATCTGCTTTGGCCCTTTTGGTTCAGTTCAGATTGAATCAGCAGCCCTCTCCTTGCATTTGAGCAACCACTTTTATTTAGGCCTTTCTAAAGTAGTCTGCGGCATGCTCTATTTGATTGTCCATTATCAGTATTCGCTTGTGAACGAGATAGGGCCCCCACATAAACGAGATACGTTTGCTTGACGACACTAAAGCAGTCTGAACGAGATAGTGTGATTTGCTACTAAAAAGTAGTTTGAATGAGATAGTGTGACATGACCTCCTACTCAAGTAGTCTAAAGGAGATAGGGCCCCCGCATAATAGAATGTGTATTTGAGTTTAATACCAAATAAATGCCGCCACACATTTGTTGCTTGCACCGCCTTGCACTAGGCATACCTTCGAGTTCCTGGCAGGTGGGGCCAGCTTCATCAGGCAGCCTTGGCTGGAGAGGGCGGGCCAAAGCTTGAAAGCTTTGCAACAGCACAGCTTCGGAAGGACAAGAGTGGCATTGGTAGGCCTACTGTTGTACGCAACACTCATTGTATTGTATAGTGCATCAAAACTCCGACAGCTTGGCAAGATTCCCAGTTTTGTATTGTAATTTGCTTTGGTATGCTTTGGTTGCTGTATATATATAGCTTGAAGTTGGCCTAGAATCTGACCCTGGGTTGCATCTGAGTGTTCCCATTCTTTGCCAACTGATCAGATTGCAGCTGGAAGACTTCCGGTGGCTGAGAGGCCCGGATGTTGTGCAAACAAGATCTTAGACTGTACAAAAAACAATATATTATATCATATACATATATATATATATACGTATGCATATTGTGGATAGATGCTCCAGGCGCCGACGAGCAGCTCACGAAGGGCTTCGAGGAGCTGCTGAGAGGTCGACAAGGCCAAAGTTGTTTGGCGGTTGACGCAACTTGACTGGCAAAGCTGTGCCTTTAAGGCTCCCGTGCGTGCCTCCAACAAACGAACAATCACATTCCAACTTTCACGTGAGTGCGTTGCTGACATAGGCCATCGAGTGCTGGATGTACAGATCCTTGCTCTCCACCTCTCAACAAATCATGACAAATCCCTCCTTTCGTGTGTTTGAAAGATCCATATCAAACCGTTATTTAGCAAAAAGGTGACCTCGCAAGGGCAAGGTTTATATACTGGACACTTTGCTTGCTACTTGAGCATATGGCCCTCATCCAATGCTTTGGATATTCCGTCGGAGACGCCGCTTCGGACAAATAAAGAGCTGCCATGACTTGAAGCAAGATATTGTTCTGCTGGCAATCGTCCTCAAGCATAATAGTTCTAACGTTGCATTCAATTCAGCATGCCACCCCTGAACCACCACTAAGCGCATCGAAGTAAGGATGTTCTGTCGCGGAACTGGGACTTGGCATACCCTGCAGAGTCTGAGTTGCTGATGCACCTTCGGATCCTTTGTCAAGTTTGAGTTTCATTCCACTATGTTCTTAGCGTTTGTTGAGGGGTCCACAAGTCTTGAGGCTCTCTCCCACTGAACAAGTTTTGCGCGTGCGCACACACACACACATGCAGAGGAATTTGGATCTAGCACATCCTTGCCTTTCACGCAGGTAAGAAAATCCGACCAATTATATAGAATTAACGTGGACAGATTTTCACTCTGTTTGGCTAGTGAGGATCTTTGATGGTGCCTGCCGCCCAGGAAGAACAGAGAGGCCTTGGTGCGAGAGCTGCTGACGCTGCGGCCTTCAGCAGGTGTGCTTTGCAACAGGCTGCTTTGCAATGCATTGTTGCAACAACATCGCTTTGGCAGTGATTTTGGAAGCTTGTTCAGCTTCCTACTTTTGGGATTTGGAAACAACTCAGACCCACACGGTTGCTGAATTTCTCACCACCTTGCAGTATGCAAATGTTGAATGACTTATGCAAGCAAAAACTCATGAAGCTCCGACCAAGATCAAGCTCACATGGGATTCACACGCTGTGTACAGGCAGGTTGTTGACGCAGCAGCTTGGAACAAGAGGAAGGCGTCCAAGTTTGAGCTGCAAGAGCTTTGGAAGATATTTTTCAGGGATCGGAAGGCCTGGCAAGGGTTTGAAGAATGTGCGAGATGGGCATCGTTCGACTCCGGAAAAGAACCAAACCTCATGGTTTGCTCACAGGAAGTCCATTGCCCTTCGGACCATCCATCATCTGCACCAATACAATCCAAGACCCCAAAACAATGCGGCCTTTCTCAGGTGCTGGTCATCATTGGAGAGCTCTTTGCCCCAACTTACCTGGAGTTCTTCCTGCAAGGGGCCCAGAGCGCTGCGGCGCGCTACGTGCAGCAGGACGAGTTCAACGATGGACTCGCAGGTGGAGAGCGTGTTGATTCGATGTTTGTGAATGACTTGGCGGCCCATCTTCCTTGGGGTTGTGTTAAGATGTGTTGAGGATTTTGCATTTGTGCAATTTCTATGCTTTTGGGTGCCCTGAATGCAATGGACCAAACCTTCCTTGATGGTTTTCTAGCAAAGGTGGAACATCTACACATTTCTCAAGTGGCATAAAGGCCTTTTGTCCTTTGCAGATCTTGCAGGAACTAGCATTGATACCCATCTGGCGTGGAGTACGATCTGCATGCAGGTTGATGTTTGCGAGCACCTTACAGTACTACGGTCACTTACAGGCTTCATGTTCGAGATTTGTGACGGGGTGCTGAAAAAGCGTCAGCACCCAGAACTTCCCAGAACTACAGTGAGCAACATGAGTCAGGCCTGCTGTCGGATCTCCGTGCCAATGTCGAAGACTTCGACGTGGCGCTGGTGGTGGGTTTCCCTGACCCACTGGGCGCTTTGCTGAGCGCTGGCCTGGAACTTTGGCCGTTTACTGTAATTATATATATGTATACATTATAAGCGCATATTGAACTTAAAAAACTAACATTTTTGCATGTGTTTTCTTCCCTTCTTCCTGTCCTTGTGATGCTAGATTCTCGGAGGTGGGCTTACTACAATTTAATTTGTAGAAATACATGCCGTATCAGCTCAGTACATGCCTGCAGATGTTAGGCTCTGGTTTAGACTTTCGAGAATGCTGAGGACTGCGCTGTCCAGACGATTGATGGTGGGCTGATGACAATCCAGCCAAGGGCCGGGAAGTCGCATTGGCCCCAGTTGCTTGGGTAGGATGATCAGCTTCATTCTGTTGCCAAGAGGGGCGCAGTTGTTAATCGCAGATCGCAGATGAATAAATTGTGCATTTTGACAATTTTTTGGTTCTTGCCATGGAAGCAACAGAGACCAAGGCCCTTCATCTAAAGCGCTGAAAATTCCAAATCTCTGCCAATAGCACCAGAAGATATCAGATAGTCCAGCCCATGGAGCACTTCATGAGTAGAGAGCCTGGTTGTTTCAACCGAAAGAGGCTCCATAGACTCAGACCATTCCAGACGGTCTCAGGCATCCAGAGCCGCCGCCGCTGACGTCCACTACCAGTGGTGGTTGGGCGTATCCAAGGCCACACCTCCGAAGGGACACCCGCTGGTTGTTGCTGAAGCTTGACCAAAATGGCCGGAGATCATCAGCCTTGCCCAATCGGCCAGAGTGTTCCCGTGTCTTTTTGATTTAGATGGGCTGTGGGCAGGTGCGCAATTCCAAAGCCTTGTCAGATTGCATGTCAAAGGATTTATACTTGTGTGTGCAGGCTGCAAGAATGCAGCGCATGAAGACATTTGACTGTGCTCTCAGCTTTTCCTGTCATATTATGTGGTGTGCGTGTGGGAGATTATGCAGGCTACTGAGAGTTTCTGCAGGCTTCCAGGTCCCTAAGCACATTTTGCTTGATAAGAAGTGGTGGAACTATGTCGAACTGAGGAACGGCCAATGGGACGTGCATATTAGTCCCAGGGATGCTCCTGCTTTGCCGGCATCCTTCCACGATGGGGTCGTAGAAGCCGCTGGGCACGTTTCAGAGACAATTGTAGACAGTTATACAATCTAACGGGTAATAGCTATGGCCTCCAACCTATATTGCTTTAAAACAACTCTGTAACATACAAGGACGGTATACCGCCGAATTCTGGCAGGTACCCTACCCAATAGAATCGCACAGTGGTGGCTCTCTACGGATTTCAGAGCACGAGCTGTTGCTTGGATGGTCAGAGACAGGCCCCGGCCCCCGGCCAAGGTTATTTCTCCGTATTAGCGTCATCAAGCTAATGCCGACTGTGTCTTTGCAGTTCATGAAAGGTAGCCCCCAACGGGGATACCTTTGAGTTTGTCTTGCACCCCTTTGAATTGATTTTTCAATACAGACCCCCACAACCGCTTCGTCCCGAAGTGGATCACCCCGATGCGGGTCATTTGGTTTGCGAGCACATCGGCAACGTGGACCGTGAGTCAACAAAAGCACGGACCAACGGCGGCTCAGAACTGGTTTCGCGCGGCGCTTCCACCATGTTTTACACCAACCACCGTTTGCACCAAACCACGTTTTATACCACTGTTGACGCCCTTGCGCGGTCGTCGTGCACCAACCACCGTTACTCCTACACCACGTTTTACACCAACCACTCGCCCCTGCGCGGCTTACACCAACCACCGTTTTACGCCAACCACCGCTTTACGCTACCCGTCTTACGCTTACAAGGCGGTTTCTAGTCTTACCATACCCTCAACTAGGGTCTGGAATGGGTGACCCTGGAGGTCTGAGACAGGAGGGTCTAGAATGGGTCCAGTGACATTGTAGACCCTTTACAGGTGAGTAAAGTAGACCCTGTGTAGTTGAGCTTGAAAATGTACGGCTGGGAAAATTTGAGCGTTTTTTGATTCAAGAAACCAAAGCTGAGTGGAATATGAACAGAGATGCATGTCACGAAAGATAGAATCACATGTCAAATGTTTTTGTTGGTGTCCTGAACTGAAGTCTTGAATCAAGTGTTGAATTCTAAGCTAGATTAATCCTTGCACCCCAGGACGTAAATAGTGGCGGTGAAAAATCATGCTTAAAATAAAAGCCCGGAGTACGGAAAATAAGATCGGCCAGCGCAATTGGCAAGACCTCAACGCAAATCCATTTTGGCACAAAACTTGAATCCTGTAGCAATTTGAAACATTCGAGACTATCTACACACACACTATCTCGCTGAACCAAAAATTGAACCAATTGAAATACCCTCAACTACTTAGGGTCTGAAATCATGAGACCCCGGGGTCCTAGAGTTCAAGGAGTCCAAGCAGTGTGTTAGACAGAGTTCACAGGTCTGAGGTGGTATTCCTGAAGCTTAGCGTAGACAAAGGGTAACGCCCTTGCGAAACAAAATAAACATCCTCGACCCCATCCTTTGGGTCTGTCTCATTGTTTTTGTTTAGTCCATCTTTCTCCAAAGAGTCCACACAGTGTGCTAGACCTAGAGTTTACGGGTCTGAGGTGGTAATCCTCAAGTTTCGCGTAGGGAGACGCCTTGAAAAAGCATCCTAGACCCATTCTTTGGGTGTGTCTTATTGTTTTTTTCAGTTCATGTTACCAAAGAGTCCACACAGTGTGCTAGCCCTAGAGTTTACAGGTCTGAGGTGGTATTTCTGAAGCTTCCACACGACCATGCAAAAGTCTTCCAGCATAATGGCTGATGGCCAACGACCAGTGAAAAGGGAAGAGGCATTTTTCAAGAATCATTTGGAGTGAGGCCAATTCCATTTGAGACCTTTGAGGAATCACTGGGGTATTTCTATGAGAAGGAATTGTGGAAGTGGGAATTCATGTAGTAGAGAAAGTCTAAGTGGAGGGGTCTACGATGGTTTCATCCTTTAGTCAAAGGCTTAAAGAAACGCATTGCGCCAATGCAGCTTTTTGGACCAGGCCTATTTAAAAGCATACCCTTGTGCACAAAGAAAGAGAAGCTTGCGACAGGGAGCCCGAAGTCTAAGATGACAGTCTAACATGGCTTTGAAGCAGGGAATCCATTTGGAGTAGAAATCCGTCCAGTTAAGATTTTGGAGGAGTATTGAGGAGTCAGGGTGTGTAGTCCATGAGAACAGTTGTAAAGATTGCAAAGATTGGCACTTGCCACCACTCTTTTCACATGATCAAAGTTTACTGTTGTGCCAAAAGCCTATGATGGTTTTCAGCGAAAGAGCTTGTTTCAAGGATCATGTGAAGATGGCGGCTTCAAATAAAAGACCCCACACCCTACTGGCCTGCGCCCTCCGCAGCTTCCCCATTGCGTCCTGGAGAATGACTGGACTGACACCATAAGATGCCCAACAACGAGATTCCACATCTCTCTCATTCACGGGCTCTCCCATCCAAACATTTGTAAAGCATTTGTTCGACGCCCCAAACCGAATGCGAGAAGAACTATCATCTGCCACAAACTGACCTGGCACCAGAAGTCACCTGGCCCCACTGCGACTTTGACAAACCAAAAATTGCAACTCCAACCAAATCCGTGGGGATTCATCTCGTATGACTCTGTAAAGAAAGCAGAGGGCAACCATGGCAAAAGAATGTGCAGAAAAGAACACGCTTACATGATGCTTTCATGGAGGGGTCTAGGATGGTAGGGACGTCCCTAAAAGATCATAGACCCTCCCGGAGTTCCCCCAGGTTTAACACCTAAACGCGTTTCAGCCCAATCCCTAGGTAATAGGCAGTTGGACCCCACGATTTGGGGCCTACAATAGTTGAGGGTATGTCTTACCCCTATCACCTGCTGCTCCGAATAGTTTCTAATGCGTGTTCTACAAGCTTCTATTCTCTTCCCTCTTTCCTACCTTTCGTGTCTCCCTTTGCTCAAGCTTCAGCTTTCAACCGGCAGTCTGTTTGGTGTTCCGTGCCGCCAATGCAACAATAACCATGAAGTCAGGTAGGCAGGCTTGCATAGGCCAGCCGCTGGTGTCTAGGGGCCCTCGCATTGAGCAAACATGCGGCATGCAGTGCTGCAGCACTTCCAATCCTCAGCTGGCCCTTGGGCTCTTCCATCGACCACTTTGTGCCGTAAGGCTTTGGCTTCGGCGCAGGGTGCCCAGCACAAACTGGGGACGCACGCTTCTGCACGTTGACGGGTGCCTGGGATTTGGCATCTTCCAGCGGCCTCATGAGATATATAGTTTTTTCCCCAGGGGCATTGTTGCTTTATTTCTGTGGTTATGACATGGGGTGCCCAGCACGTCGGGCTTTTCCGAACTTGAGCCAAACAAGGTCAAGGGTACACTTTTGATTTGTGCACCTGTCGAAACTTGAAGCGGAGTGGTTATTTCTCACTCACACTCCCCCTGACTTCGTTGAAGTCATCGCGTGTCGGGTAGGTTTTTTCGTCTACCCTCCACGGTCTTCAAAGATCTCAAAGCTACCATTGGACTCACTTGAGTCCTCCCCAACCCTTGAGGTTCCAGAAAAACCGCGTCGCGGCTCCCAAGGGTCATTTAACTGGCACCTGGGTGGACACACCCATCCAGCTCGGCGTCTCCTGCTCAGAGCTTCCCACTGGCGGGTTCTCGATAGCTCTCTCGATTCGGCGGAGCTAAGTTGCTTCGCACCACTCTCCACCCCCGACCCGTCATCTCGTCCAATGATGGTGGATCTTCATCCCCGCTTGCCAATGATCTCCTCCAGTCAGGTCTCTCTGCACTGCTCGCCTCACTGTCCGCTGGCCTGTTCTCCGCTGGCGACCTGGCATCAACAGTCAAGTCCCGCATGAACGCCAGCCAATCATCCCGTACATCATCATCCAATGTAGTTCCATCATGCCCTCCAGGTCCCTGTGCCCAACACTCTGGATCATAGTCCCACCCATAGTCGCCTTCCTCATCAACAACGGAAAGTTCTCTTGATTCTCCTGAGGCGCCTGATCCATCCATCTCACCTCGATGTAGGTGGCCACGCAACCTCTGCTCGTAGCCTCCCAGGCTGCTGCTCATCCCCTCAGTCATTCCAGTACTCTGGTTGGAGACGGATCCCAACGAATCGGACTCCAGCGCATGGCGACCTGGGCAAGTCTTCCGGCAACAGGCCATGTTCCGCAATGCCTGGCATTGGCGGTGGTCCAGAGGTCAATGAACTGCTCATCGACGAAGAGGTGCGATCCCCTTGCCCCCTGGTAGTAGATGAACTAGACGTCGAAGTCAATGTCCCTGCAGCCGGCTCTGGGCGAAGATCTCGAAAGAACGTATATCCAACCCAGGCATCCCTCACCGGCGGTTCCGTCTCAGTTCGCCAGTCATCATCTCGGATCACCCTTTCACCATGGCACCACAAAACGGTAATTCTCCGATCTTGAATTTGGCTGCAATCCATAGGTGTCCGTCGATGAACTGGATGAAAAGGTCTCATTCGCTGCCTGACATGGTGCCGTACCCGCCATCCTCCTGGAAGCCGATCCCAACGATCTTGACCCTGCGACGGCAACGTGAATCTCCTCCAGGTCCAAGGTCGATCATGGTCAACAGCTGGCAACTCGCCAGTCGCGGCAGAGGAACCTCTTCCAAGCGCAGCCAACCGCGCCCTCTTGGTGTTTCCGCCATGGCGCACTTCTACCGCGAAATCCCGGGAGCCCTCAGGGCTAGGTTCTGTGATAGGTTCCTCTTCTGACCCATCTTCCCTACTGCAGGTGGGTTCATCTTCCCTCACCTGATCTTGATGTCCATACGGTGGATCTACATACTCATTTCTTGTCGGCCCAGTGGCTCTCTTCTTGGAATCACAGCCGGCTTTCCAGCTGGTGGCCAAACTAGCTACCATCGCGGCTACAGCTAGGCTTTGAGCGGCCTTGCCCGTTGGACCTGATGGCCGCCAAGTCAACACTCCCGCTAGCCCACCTACCAAAGCTGCAATCCTGGCCACTTTGGACCCTAAGCTATCAGAGGAAGCTTCCACCACTGGCTTCATGCCCATCGCTGCAATCAAGTGCTGCCATCGAGCTGCCACCCCAATTGGCTTCGCGAGGAAGTCTGCCACTAGATGTTGACCCGGGATGTGAATCACCTTCCAAGCACCCCATTTGACGCGCTCTCGTAACGCATGAGCTCTGAGACGAAGATGACGTGTCTGCAAGGCCCGTCTGGTGCTTCCAAAATTCGAAGACCAGCCTGGTTGTCTCCCCCCAACCGGCATTCCGTCCCCTTCTCATCTCCATGCCCTTCCAAGACATTAGTCAAGGCTGCCAAAGAATCTCCCATGGTCATGGCTTCCGTATATCCCAGTAACTCGGCCTTGTGGTACGACAGGGCGGACCTCCAACAATCGCCTTCACCTTCCCAGATCGAGCCAGCGAGCAAACATAGCTCCATACGTTCACATTATGCATGTTGAAGCCATCCCCCAACTCCAAATCCAGGAAGATCCAGTCCATGTCGTCTGGCAAAGTGCCCTTCCATCTCCCTGTATCAGCTCCAGACAAAAGATGAATCACCAAGCCCTTACTTCGTCGGTGCCGACGCCTCTGGCGTCTATTCCAAGGCAGCAACTCAGGGTTCGGCTCATTTGAGAACCCCACCATCATCTCCAGCACGTCCTCCGGCACGTCCGGCATGATGCGGCGCCACCAATTCCAATCCTCTTGGGTTAACTTCTTCCGAGCCTTCTGGTTCTCCTCGAACTCTGCCAACATCACCATAGCATCCTTTCGGTTCATGACCGGGCATCCCGACCTCAACCAACACTTCACAGCTCCCAGCTGCTGGTGCATGATCGTGCAACCCTGCCCAGTCCAGTGAATGGCATATCCGTTCTCCACTAGTAGATGTAGTGGCAAGATCGGCTCCACTGGCTCCAGCGACAGTAGAGTGTCAAAATCCGGATGTCTGTACAATGTCGTACATCCATGGGCCAACTCCACCGTGATCGGCTGCAATTTTTCCCGTTTTCTGGTCGTGCCATCCTCCACCATCCAGTAGTGCTAGCTCCTGTTCCTCTTCATTCCCTGCCACGTTGATCTGCTTCAGCCTGAAGGTTTTCATGCTGCGGAGAGACTTCAGTAGGGATGTGGCCTCTGTGATCAGCTCCGATGCAGGATACCCTTCTTGACCGGTTCTACTCCACCATCCCGTCCTTTTTCTCCACCACTTGGCGCTGGCCTGGTAGACGTGGACATAGAGCTCGTCAACGAGGTAGTTCCTGGCCTTCCAGAACCACCCGGGCCAGTCTCCTCCTTCTCCACCTGAGCCTTTCCACTCCCCTTCAACTTGGCCGCCTTCTTTCCATCCCTTCCCGGTCGTTCTCGACCATATGGGCAATCCTTCGCGAAGTGGTTCTCCCCGGAGCAATGAAAACACCTGTCTGACTTGTTGACGCCCTCCCAAGAGTGGGCGAAAGTGCAGGACTCGCCACGCTTGCGCCCAGCCGTAGTCCCCCACGTACTAACGGCATGCCTGTTCGATTTCGGCTGCCCATCTCCACCGCGTCAACGCCAAATCTTCCGCCTCCGCTTGTAGGAACTTTGCGAACTCCTTGCATGGTGGTGATCAGCGTGGGCCTCCGATCAACCTCAAGTTCCTGCCGAGCCGCTGCAATTCGGAATCCCGCTTGACTTCCTCCATGCTTCGTGAGGTTCTCCGCTACCTTGGACAAGGCCTGAATCAAGACCATCGAGTCCGGCGCCAGGTTCGAATTGAATGGCGCCTAACGTGTCCTGAATGGAGCTGCCGCACTTCACCTCGGTCAGGCTGCGCAGCAAATTGCCCCTCTCTGCATTCCCACCAGGCTGGTAGATGGTGAAGAGCTTGTACAAGATCGCCTGAGTAGCCACCCTCCGACTTGCAGCAATGTCCTTTCTCACCGGTTCCGGAAGCGCTGCCAGCAAAGTCGAGCTTGCACGCTGATCCAATCGTTGAAACCGCGGGGACACTTGCTCTTCCACCTTGATTCTCAACCGCCCCAATGGTGTTGCCAAAAGCCACTCATTGTATTTCACCTCCACCAATCCCAAAACTCCCTGGACGAAGTGCTGAGGTCTCCCATCAGCGGAGTGATCACCATCTGCCAATCTCCAAAAAGTAAGGCCGCATTCTCTGTCGAAGGTGCTGGCAGTGGTGGCAATTTCAGATTTCGCATTGCCTCAGGCAGTGCAGCTGTCACGGAGTCTGGCGGCTTCATCACATTCACCGCCCCTTTCAATCCAATTCCACGACCTCGAGGATCATGTGCAGGAGCAAGACCAGGAGGGGTGTCAGGTTGTCCTCCAAGCTTTGTAGGGCCCCATTGGCTCTTGCGGTCCCTCAGCCTTCGCACGAGGCCGAATCTCCAGCGTCCGTCATCTTCTTCACCTCCCGAGCGAAGGTCTCCTCGGCCTCCCTCAAGATGCGTTCTCGAAGACGTTCAACATGCCCCACGCCTGGACTCGGTGCAGGATGCTGACCACTTGCAACTTCAGATGCCCGGACATGTGACTCTCCCTTCGCGGCTTGCTGTACCGAAGCGCTCCAAAAGGGATTCACCGTCCCCAGCGGTCCCACCGGAGTGGTAGGGTAAGGCTCCAGCACCCGAGGATGTAGATCATCACGTCCTGCTCCAGCCATGTGCGCTCCACCTCCATTCCGCTCTCCCACGATGGAGTGCCCGCCGCCAGCCCGTGCCCTGGAAGAACTCCGAATCCGGTACCGGCATGACCTCCCTGATCACCGGGCCGAAGAAGAGGATCAAGTAGGGTCGGCTGGGAACTTGGCCTTTGAAGAGCATGTTGCAACACTTCAAATGACTGCCGAACTGCCTCCTGCAAATGCCCAAGTCCCATCGCTTGGCCTCTTGGGTCATTCAACAGCTGTCGAACTTCATGTTGTCCTTGGTTGCCACTTGATGCAGCCATCGCTGGAGGGCCTCCATGGCCAGAGCCAGCGCCAGCAGCCACGCCCAGACGCTTCACCTCAGCTGCTCCCACCGGCACTGATTGCGCCCTTGCCGCCTTCGCCTTCATCTCTTCCTCGATCAAGGCATCCAGCCGGCGATCTGCCGCTCCGATCTCCACCTGCGGGGCCGCAGCTTCCTGCCGCTCCCGCGATCGCTGCTGTCGGCGCCGTCGTTGATCCATGGGGACCAACACTTCCCCGTTCTCACAACGGTGGAAGGTGGACTTGGAAAATCAAAAAAGTCGAGTTGGGCTCATAACCTGTGGTTATGACATGGGGTGCCCAGCACGTCGGGCTTTTCCGAACTTGAGCCAAACAAGGTCAAGGGTACACTTTTGATTTGCGCACCTGTCGAAACTTGAAGCGGAGTGGTTATTTCCCACTCACAATTTCATAATGACATTTGTTGTATGTCAAAAACGGCATTCTTGCAGAGCTGGTGTGAGCGAATCAGTTCCTTGGTTCCAAGGGCAAACGGTCTGATTTCAAAGGCGTCTACAAGTGTCACAAGTCATTAGTCCAAGTTTTTTTCGCAGCAGTTTGCTGTCGTTTTGTCAATTTTTGGGTCAGCCGTGCCTACTTCCCTCGAGTTGTAGCAATGCGTTGGCAGCTGGTTCTTGGTTGCCGAAGAACCAGTTGCAAGGTGTGATTGGGAATGCAGCATCTTCGTAAATGGCGTGCTTTTGGGCACCCATCAAGGTGCTTACGACCCTTTCACCTTTGAGCTGCCGCCTGATGAGGCGTGAAGTTGGATTTATGAAATGCCACCGACTTGTAAGCGCTCAGCAAAACACCTTCACAGTTTGAAACACAATCGGCAATTTCAAGGTGACTGGTCCATACTGGCCCGAAATTTGACTCCTTTGGATTTAGAGCAGTCTGTGCTCGTCTGATAGAATTCAAGCAGGGAGGTTTTTGTTCTGCAATCCGATCACATCTGTAAAGAGGCCTAGGCTACGACAGACATACGCTGCGCATTTTGGCGCATGTTGCTGGTTTTCTCCGGCTCCCAGACACAGCTCGTGGCCCGTAGGCCGTGTGGGAGATTATTATGCGTGTTTGGGACCCCACAGACAGCGGTTGCGATCCTCGGACGCATTGCTTTTCTAAGCTGGATTGTAAGCTCTCTAAGCCTCTAAGCTGCCAACCAACTTGCCAAACAAGAGCATGCTTGGGTTTGAACATTGGACAGCAAGTCACTACGGTGCTTTTTGGCAGCATATGACTCCAAAAGTGTGGCGTGGTGTGCCGGGTAGTTGTTAGTATTTGGTCGGACCTCAAAGTGTCGGATGCACATTCCAAATTGCACTCGGAATTTTTGGATGCATTTGCGCAAGCACATATTCACTGAAAGTCCCGCTTCCCTAGAAATTCGGGCGCTCAACTTCTGACCGTCAAGAGTTCATTCGCACATGCTTAGCACTCAGGAGTACAAAGTGGATGAGCAGCCCCACTGTCATCGCTGCTGTGAGAGTGGATGGCAGCCTCGTGGAAAGCAGTCCTTGCAACCTGGATTTATCATGTATTCTGCTGCCACAGGCCGGGCGGGAGTCAATCAGGGAACTCTATTGCAGCTGTGCACGGAACAGTACACAACTCATTATACATGGATTGCTGCTAGATTTTTTATAATTACTTGTTGCTGCTCAACAGGAGGTGCCACAGAATCGGAATTCTCGTTGGACTGATGCAGTGAGGTGTGAGTTGGTGTGAGGGTGTTGTGATCTTGTTCTGGAGGCCCATGGCAAAGCATATGGCTCGAGGTGCCTTGTTGCAAGATGTGGCAACAGTTATATACCCGTGTTGATGACCGCGTTAGATCTGTTCAGTTTGCCAGTGGCCATGAAGGAGGTGCCCCAAGCATGCCTCATCCACTCTGCGGAAACGCATTTGCTTCAGCCCAGAGCGGACAGTGGCGTTCGCCTGGAGGTGGGTAATCACCATGTCCTTGAACTTGCTGACGGGGAATCAAGGTGATCATATATATATATATATATATATATCACGAAACCCAGCCGATAGGCAAGGCTTGAGGTTGATGGAGCGAACGAAGTGAGTTATAGGGTGTGTGTGGGGGGGTGATTGAGAGCAGACCAATCTCGGAGAGGCTGACCCAGAGCCTGGTGGGGGAGAGCGAAAAAAGAAGGTGGCCACTTGGTAGTGAAAATTAGTAGTTTTTGGGGGTGTTGTGATGCCGGTGATGGCCAGTAGTGCATCATTAGCATCACGAGGGGCTCAGGAGGCAATGTATACCGTTTTCTACCAGGGTGGGGGTTCATGTCAATGATAGGAAAGAGGGGACAACGGGATGCGAAAAGTGGTTGGAACCCCTCCAGAAAAAGGGAGACGTGCGCCTCTCATGGCCAGTGAAACAGTGTGAAAGGGAGGTGTGCATCTCTTAAGACATTGTGTGATCTGTGAGGAGCCAGAATGCTGTGGGGAAGGTGGAGGACAGGCATAGCGTAGGAGGACGTGGTAGGAAAAGAGTGCTTGCAAGAAATGTTAGTAGAGTTGCTTGGGGTGCCCTTTTTAATGGTGAAGACGCCTTGAGGGCAGGAAAGGGAACAAATTGCAGCGGGCAAGCTTTGAACTGCTTGGCTGTGCCCTTTTTTCACGGTGAAGAGGTCTAGTTGCCGGAATGAAAAGGGCACCTCATATGCGGTGGGAGTTCATGTGGACGAGACAGGCATAGTGGAGGAGGATGTGATAGGAAAAGAGGGATTGCAAGAAACGATGGGGCCCATTCATAAGCTTCGAGTTGCTTGGGGGTGTCCTTTTTTTTATTATAAAGAGGCCTGTTGACCAGACGCAGAAGGGCACCCCATATGGAGTAAGAGTTCATGTACAAAATGGGCATAGCGGGGGGAGGAGGTGATAGGTGTGAAAATCCACTCATGCATGCCTTGGTTCGTCAGGTCGTTCTCTTCCGCCGCTGCCGTACAGGTACCAAGAGCCGTTTCCCTTTGCGTAAAAGGCCATGCGTCCGAGCATTTGCTGTGCCTTGTTCCTTGCGTTTTGAGGGCGGTCACTCAGGCACGTGACTGTATCAGTTGGTAGGCGGAGCTATGCCTACGATCCAGGATTTGCCGTTTGTTTTCGACATGTCTGCCGATGACGACGTTCCCTGGGACTATGAAGCCCTTGACGCTACCACCACTCCGCTCGGAGATTCGTCTTCCCCCCATGAAGCTCATTGGAGATGTTGGACATGTGGTCATGCTGAGTTTGAGTGGTCGGATCATTGGGTTTGTGCAAGTTGTGGCAGTGTTGAGTTTTACAATACTAGGCAGTCAGAGCGGCGTGAGACCAGAGAAGGCGTTTGGCTTTACATGCCTCGACAGACCTCTTGGGACACACCTGACAGCAAGCTTGCAGCACCCCCTTTTGGATCCCCACCGAGTACCTCCGGACATGACTTCGGAGAAGATCGTGAGCTCGCCGAATCCGAGACTCCGACACACGATCCCATTGTCGATCCGGACGGATCTCAGACCAGACGCCAACGAAGACGACGCCGCAAAAGCAATGCTTCGCAAGAACAGCAACAAGTTCAGGCTGATGAATCCGAGGCTGACATCAAGCAGAACTTGGACGAGATCGTCACCATGCTCAAGAAGTCCATGTCGAACGAGAAGAGCAACTCGTCACAAGACTCATGGAACAGTAGGAAAGGACCAGAGAAGGGAGTGCGCTTCAGAGGGGGGACTCCTCCAAACCCTCCTACATGGAAGTACTCTCGTGATGACATCCGGTCGGTTCCGAAGTGGCAGAAGAAGCTGGCAGTTTGGAAGAAACAGATCCAAGCATATATGCCCCTACAAGATGCAGCATTGATGTTGTATACGAGCCTTTCTGGTGAACCGGAAGAAGAGCTGGAGCACATCGATCTTGATCGCCTGCATCGTTCAGACGGCATCGACTACATTGAGAGCCTGCTTCGCCAAGGTCTTGAAACCAAGCTAATTTACCAGAAAAGGAAGCTCATGAGCGAGTTTGAAACAATAGTTCGGCAGCCTTCAGAGTCCATGCGTGCCTTCGTGAACAGATACCGAAGGGCAGAGCGATCCCTGCAGAGCATCGGCGTCAACCCAAGTGGCATGTATGACAGTGAAGCAATGGGCAACAGACTGCTCGAACGTGCCCGGCTTTCGCCGGAGAACGGTCGATTGGTTTTGATCGGGTCGAACTTCAATCTCACCTTCGAGTCCATAGCTGAGAGTCTGTGCATGACTTTCCCAGAACACAAATCGCCTCCACAGTTGTTTGGGAAAGATGGTCAGCCCATCAAAGCATTTCAGCATCGCAAGCTCCACCACCGCTACGTCCTCTTCTTCCTTTAAGGGGAAAGGAAAGGGCAAGAACAAGTTTCAGTCCAGACAAGCATTTGCCACAGAGCAAGTTGAGTTGGAAGCAGTTCCAGAGGAGAATGACGACGAAGAAGATGGCAATACAGAGTTTCACGACGCAGAAGACTGGCAAGACGATGAGCAGCCTCCCGAAGAGGATGAAGCTGCATACGACGACGCTGATGAGGAAACAGATCTCTCCGCTGTTGTCGACGTCCTGACTGTCACAGCGAAGAAGTTACAATCCCTTACATTGGGAAGAAAGTACACCGGAACCAGAACGATCCAAGAAAGAAAGAGAACAAGCAGTTGTTCTGCGTGTGGACAAATCGGCCACTGGGCCGGTGACGGAATGCGCAAAGTCGACTTCCAAGTCCTCTGTCAAAGCCAACGGCAAAGCTAAAGACACGCAGCAGTTCGATGGTAAGACCAAAAAGGTTCTCTTCACCACCATCACGGATCAAGGTTCTGAACCCCATCAACTACCAGATGAAGTTCCCGAGGTTCCCAACTATTTCAGCTTCATGATCAACATGCTCCCATCCGACTCTTCTACCAACCAGGTTTTGTACATGGATTCAACCAGCCTTTGTGGTTACATGGTTCTCGACGCAGCATGCCAGCGTATGTGTTGTGGTGCAACCTGGTTAGATGAGCACACAAAGATCCTCGCCCAACATCGACTTCGACCACGACTCGTCGATGCGTCCGAGGCTTTCCAGTTTGGCCGCGGCTCTCCAATTCGAGCCAAGGCCCGAGCCTACCTGCCGTCAAGTGTTGGTGGAGTTTACTCTTTGTTGGGTGCAAGCATTGTTGAGACAGGCGTTCCACTTTTGGCATCAAACACGTTTTTGGAAACTGTTGGAGCAATAGTTGATCTGGGCAAGCAACTTGTTTTGTTTCAGAATCTCGGAGTCACAGTGGCCATTCACAAGGTCAACGGACATCTAGCGGTTCCAATTTGTGATTTTGAAATTTGTGCATCTCAGCATGATATTTGGAAGTTTTTGAGCAGTCCACACATTTGGACGTGTCCTCATCCGGAGATCATCGCTGAAGGCATTCTTGACCAGCAGTACTTGAGGCCCGAAGATACATCAGGAGTGTTCACCGTCCAGGATGCTTCGTCAGACACCACCATCATGGCTTGTGAACTGGCGTCGGGTTCTGCACATGATCCTCCGCCTCGAGATGCTGGCACTCCGTGCGATGTCAAGAGCAATTCGATTTGGCCTGGCACCAAGATCCTGGCTGACTCTCCAGGACAAGGTGGAACAGGAAGAGATGGAAAAAGCTGTGGCTCAGGCCATGACCAAGCCGTTGAAGGACGTGGGTCAATGCTCGCGCCCTCAGTGGACCAGGTACGGCAATGCCCACGGTCGCTTCGCAAAGTGCACTCTATGCCACACGAGGATGAAGTGGTCACCGGAAGAAGAAACATGGTATCCTCTTGGACGGGCATCTTCGGCAAAATCTTCTTTGCCGCTTCCATCGTCTTCAAATACCTATCCACAGAAGCCCAGGAGCAAGCCTATGTCGGGACCACCACCAGGAGCTTCACAGAAGGCACTCCCGAAACCGAAGTCCTCCCCGAGCTCTTCAGCGACGCCTTCAGTCGCCAATATGAATCCTCCACCACCGACTTGGCTCCTGGAATTTGCACAATCAAGTGGCGGACGAACTCCTCCAGTATGGTCGGGATATGGACGACCACGAGAATCAGGTCAGAGCCGCCATGGAAAGTGCGATGATGAGGACTCAAGGACGCATTCCAGCCACCGCAGAGACCTTCGACATGACAGACATGGAGTCCGTGGAGACGATGAGCCAGGCAGATCTCTACGAGTGGCCGGTAGATTGAATCAGGAAGAGCTTGAGAGCAACTACAAGGGGCACAAGAAGTTCATCCTGGGCAGGATCAAGAAAGCCATCCATGCTGCCCAGACAGAACAAAAGACCTATGAAGCCTTAGCTACAAAGCATCGCGCAACTCATTCCAAGATTGATATCATGGAGATCTTCGCCGGGAGTGGCACAGTCTCCAAGACTGCAGTGCGCTATGGCTTGACAGCTACCACACCGATTGACTATAACACCGGCTATGACCTTTCTCAACATGATTCACAAGTAGCCTGTGACCGGATGTTGCAGACGCTTCGGCCTCTCTTTCTGCTCGCCAGCATACATTGCACACCCTGGCTTGTGATGCAGGAGAATATGAACTAGAACACAAGACCAGAACTTCTTGAACAACGTCGTGAAGAAGAGAGACCGATAGTTGAAAAGACCATGGACTGGTGCAAGCGACAACATAATAGTGAAGGCAGATTCTACTTGATCGAGAACCCCAACAACAGCCGTCTGTGGGAAGAACCCTCAGTTGTGGCAATGCTGCAGGAGACCAATGGTATGGTCACGACATGTCATTCCGGTGCCTATGGCGCCACGAACTCCAAGGGTCAGAAGATCAAGAAGACCTTCAAGTTTGCCTCCAACAACAAGGACATTTTGTACTACCTCAGCGAAAAGCTCAATGCAGAGGAACTTGCCCAGTGCATTCCTCTACAAGGAAAAGAAGTCACC